GGCGATTCGGGCAGGACTGACTGTGTGCGGAGCAGACGTGTCCTGGGCCAGGCCAGGCCGTGGAAGGAAGAGAAGAAGAATCAAATAAAAAAAAAACACCAAAAAATAAAAATACAAAAAAAAAAAAAATAGTACGCAGAGTGCCCAGTGAAGCCAAATGACACGTCATTTTACAGTGTGACCTTTTTCCCCCTTCTAGACTTGCAGGGTTTTTGAAAAGCAAAGAAGATTCACTAAATGGTAGCATCTGCCCCCCCCCGCCCCAGCTGTGCCCCCACCCATGTAACAAGCAATTAACACACACATTTTCCTGTTAGTGGGCCTCCTTCAGAGTGAAAACACAAAAGTGAAAAATAAAATAAAAACGTATTTTTAAAAGACTCACAAATAAGATAAACTGGAAAATGACATTTGTCTGTAAATGGCTTCTTGGTTTCGAAATGGCGTTTTAAAATTTTTTGTCCTTTTCAAGGTGGGGGGGATAAGCGCTCTGGGAAGACTTTCCTGGGTGGAAGCTGATGACAAGACATTAATTAGTTGTTTGTCAAGTGACATTTGGTTGTTTGGTTTTTCTTCTCTTTTTTTCACTGCGGGTTTTCCTCCTTGGCAAGAAAGAAAGAAGGAAAGAAAGAAAGAAAGAAAGAGAGAAAGAAAGAAAGAAAGAAAGAAAGAAAGAGGAAGAGAGAGAAGGAGGGAGTGGGATCCCCAAACTCCCTTTTTTCTTTTGAGGTGCTGGGTGGGGTGGGGGTCAACAAGCACACAGGCTCACACACACACACTCACAAAATTGTTGAGATGACCACGAAAACATTACACACCATTAATTAGAATGGAAGCTTTCCACTTCTTGGTATTTTGGCTATCTGGATAAATTTGTGAATATGCTGGGAGCATGGATGGTCACATTTCAACAAAATAGTTTAATTATCAAAAAATAAAATGTAGGAGGCTGTTGTTATTTGTGGTGCCGTTCGGTTTGATCTTTTTGGATGGGGTCAAGTCTTTGTTCTCCCTGGGCCAGATTTAGTAAAGCAGAAAATTATTAATAAGTGAAAATAACTCTCCTTGGTGTTGATCATTTGCAGTTTTAGTAATTAGAGGATATAAATGTGGAGTCTAAAACTTCTAAAGGCATAATTAGGCTGTAAATATTAATATGCTACAACACTTTGACTTCAAAGTACACACCTGGAAAAAGTCTAGAGTCTTCTATATGTTGTATCCTTACTGATGTGACTACTGATTTAACTCCAGGGTGATGTTAATGACACATTAAATTTCTAACACCTTTTTTCTTGTGTCTTTACAGTGATTTCAAGTGACCCCACTCATTTGAGACTATTGTTCTGACCCACCCTGCCTCTTCTCAAGTCTCCTAGTCTACATGGCTGCATTGTGCCACAATTAACTGATGACCTTTGGCATAGAAATCTGTTGCCCTGGCCATTGGCAATATTTTACATTCCTTAAAATGAAATAATTCCCCACAAAGGAAACTGAATTCCCCAACCCCCTTTTCTTGAGCCCATTTTAACTTTTGCCATGTAAATTAAGTTAATTACAGAACCATGAGAACCCTTTACAGTTATTTTCAGCCCAATTTTCTATTCTCACAAACGTGGAAACTGAGGCACGGGTTTAATGCTGTCTATAAAAAACAGCTGTCAGAACTTTTGACATTGCTAAGATTAGAACACTGAAGACCCCGACTAGTGCTCTGTGTTCCCTTCATGGGAACCCCCCCAATAGTGCCCTTTAAACTTAATTTATGTGAGTTTTGCTCATTAGGATGGTGTTTGCTTTGAAATCAATTCGTCTGTGGAAACCAATTTTAACTTTTACAGATATTGATTATAGCCTTGAGGAAAGGTAAAAGGGGGAGGAATGCTTTGTGATCTGAGTACCAAAACAAAAGTATATTTTAAAAGAAAAAGATTTTTAAAACCCTTCAGATTTATGTGGGAAGAGGGGGGAGTATTTTTGCAAAAAATAGTGCAGATGAGCTAGCTCTGTCTTGATGGAAATGGGGCGGTGGCGGCGATGGGGTGTGGTCGGGAGGGGGGTCTGTAAACTGTTTTTAAAAAACAAATGAAAGGTGATTTAGAGTGGAGGCTTGTGCTGCCTTTTACTCTTTTAGTTGGGAAAAGCCTAGAGTCTTCCAATGTAGGGGTTTTCAGGAATATTTGTGAATATAATTAAAGTCATCATCCTGTTCTTTTTTTTTTTAATTCTTTACTGTTGATGCTGCATGTTGCCTGATGCTAATAAGGTCTCAAGTGCCATGTTTGATATTAAATTGTTTTGTTTTTTTGCTCTTTTGTTTGTTTGGTTATTCTTTTTTTTCCTTTTTGGCTTTTGCCCCCTTGCTACTGGCAGATAATTGATGGCCTTCCATTTCCCTCTGCAACATGGTTGTTGTATCCAGAAAAAAAGTATCTTTAGAAAGATTCTTTTTGCAGAGAAAAGGAGTGAATCAGTGAATACATTGTAACACCAGTTGGGGGGGGGAATTGAAGCTTGCTAGACGGCAGCTGCTTTGGTGTCGCAGGGGTGGTGTGGGGGAGACTGCGGTATCTGAGCATTGTCCTTCAGTCCTGGGTATTTTAACCATAAAACATCCAACAAACAGGAAATTAGGTGGCTGCTGCATTTTTGTGTACCTTTGACCACATTTCAATATTAAGTTCACAATTTTGACTTAAATTCTTTCACCCCTCAAATGACAATTACGTCATTCCTTCATTACCTCATGATTTTTAAAACCCAAAGAGAAAACAAAATAAAACAACAAAACTTACAAAAAAAAAAAAAACTATTTAAAAAAGCAGAGCCCTCAATTCTTGCTTGTTAGTCTATGGTGAAATACTGCAGGTAGACACTAAGCTGGACATGTCTTTTGTCTTTCACTGCGTCGTCATGTCAAGGGAAATTGTGGTTGTGTCACTGTGTGTCTGTTGCGGGCTGCTTCTGCTGCTTTCCA